CTGGTATACACCTGCAGGCATAGAGCTTTATCTAGCCCTATCTGACTCTTCTGTTAGCAGATTGCTTATCTAGTGCATTCTTATTTATATTCACAATCTAGTTGGATAACTAAATCTTTCGGGAAATCAAGTAATTATTTATAGCCATCTTTCTTTCGTATTAGAATAGCACGTAACAAACAACAATGAAAATGAAATAAAAAAAAGGTCGCTACAAGTGGCGGAAAATCAATGAAAACGTTTTGCAATGTCCTTTGTCCCGCCTCTTCGCTCCGATCTTTCCACAACGTTCCCCTCTCGAAGTCATTCTCTTCCTATTTGTTTAATTATGGAAGATATAGCTAACCCAGCGAGGGTTTCGGCCCCTATGCTGTTCATCACACTTAGGTGTGTAATATAAAGAACAATTTATTGATTCTTTTCGAAATTTTGTAGAATATAAGTAACGGTAGTCCAACTAAACACGTGAAATTGATTAACCTGTCAGCATGGAACGGTGTCTGCTCTTTTAATACAGTGAGGCCAGTATTTGGGTGGTGGTGGCGCAGTGGTTTGGTCGCTGCCACCGGCGTGCTTTGGACCCTATGGTCCGAGGTTCGAGCCCCGCCACCCGGCTTTGGTGGTAGGCAGCTCTGCTGTCGTTTGGTTCAATACCACGCCTAACCTATCGGGGTCTTATGTAGTTCGCCACTCCAAGTTCCGGGGCTTAGGTTGCCGATTTCAACCACTGAACAGCAGGTCCTCGTGACTATGGGGTTTACCCCGTCTGCTGTTCATCATACCTAGGTGTGTAATAAAAAAATATGGGTGCTTATAAGAACAAAACACAATTCAGTGCCAGATGGAGTAGGCTGGATCAAAACAGGTAAATAATCAAACTGCTGCAGAGTTTTCCTGAGCATCTGTTCGCAATCTCGGATGTACGAAACCGTCAAAACAGGTGCCACTCTAAGTAGAATAACAATGGAGTTTGTACAGAGAAGCGTTCATGAACTTTATTCTGCTTATACAGTGTGTCCGTCATTTAAAGTACACTTGTAGGGCCACTGAAAGTACCTGAAAGCTCTGTGTAGCTGGCCAACTTTTATGAGGACTCATTGTCAGGATGGCTTTTGTCAAGCCGAAGATCTAATCATGCCTGGAAGGTCGAAGGATAGAGGTCGAACGAAGTCCAGTCTCATGGCCCTCCGGGTTGGGGGTTCGACTGGAATTTGCGTTTCAATCGGTAAAAAATAGTAGAGTAATTGATCCAAATAAATGGGCCCCCACTTCGCTTTACTCGCTACCTTGTGGCTAGGTTCTTATCAGAACTAAAGACCTTCAATGGGAACCCTAATCGTTCTCTTGCTTAGTGGCTGGACACCCTAGCCGAACCCGTCCATCAACCCCCAATGTATATGCACTGCGAGTTTTGGCAGCGATCAGTGAAGTTTGCTTCTCTGTGTTTCACTGTACGATGATTGTGATGATGACGGGCCACCTAAACCAACTAACGTAGTAACGCGCAAACAAAAAAATCTGACGCACAGAAAGATATTTTATGTGAAACATCGCCATGCGTTTGTATTAAAGTGTTAGTATGAACCTACATATAAACTGTGGAATAAAGTAATGTCTCAAAAATGTCCGAATTTCTCCTTGCAACCAGCCACTACAAGACTGAATGATCCTGCCACTGTTACATCAAGTTTAATATGTTATTTGTCGCGGAACGGCTTAGTGTCCTCTACATTATTTTCCGTTTCTGTATGCAGTGAGAAGAGACGAGCGAGATAGGTTTCCAATTGTGAATTTTGTAACTGCATTTAAAATCAGTGTTTGCCTCCTACTGTCTAGTAAGTCATGAATATCTTCCTCGATTACGGGCGGCGGAGCCAACCACCGTATAATTACGTCAGTTTGTTTTGTGCAGTGACATTGCATTATTGAATTGAGTACGTAAAAGCAGTATAACATTTAATTTGCTTAGCACGTTCTGCCTGAGCAAACTGTCGATTGTGATTTACCTTCAGAGAATACTTCCCACATTCCGTTCTTATCAAATCCAGTTAAGGGAAACACGGAATCAGCGAAGCAGAGCGGCGAAAAAAGTGAATTGGAACAGTGTCTATCTGAAGTCGGTGATCGAGCAGCTCTTGTTCAAGCACTTCGTCGATTACGCGATCAGATAACCTCGTTGGCAGATAGTTTGGATACTTATGCTCTTTCCAACAGCGCTTCCATGGGCAATGCTAGTCTGCAACAACAAACGCTAAAATCTGGCTCTGAAGTAAGTCCTACCACAGTTTCATAGGTTTATCAATGGAAATCGGGGACACAGCTAATATTTTCCTGCCGAATGAGTGTTTTTGTTTCACTGTGTGGTGATTTTGACTTTTCTTTCGGTCATGCATTAAGTGTACTAATGAGAAAACGATTAATGTACCCAAGTTTGTTTCAGTTTCTACTACCTTTAATCATGCACTTTCGTGTGGCGGTTTTGGTTGCTGTCTTTTGACCGTCCATTCGGATGTAGGGGTAAAAGAAATATCTTTGAATGTTGATTAAACTGATCAAGAGGCCTCCAACCAGGAAGCCTAGCGCAGATCTGTCAGCTGAAGGACAAAAGATTAAGTTTATTTATTCCCTCAGATTATGCTCTGACCACCATTGGCTGCTATCTGTTTTGGCAAACGTACACCTAGAAAGCCAATCGTGTGATGTGCTTAACACAAGCCACGATTTATGGTGATTCAACGTTTGTATCAGTTCACGATTATCGAATACTCTTTGCCTAACGTCAACGTTTTGTCCGATTTTCCCACCTGTTTCGTTTAATGCGACGTGGACTGCGATGTTCGACCGAAAAGAAAGTTCTTTGTTCATCTACGCGTAATAGCTTTGCATCATGCATCATCTACCGGACCTCTGCTCCGGATAAAAGAAAAATGACGGGTCGTATCGTCTTTCATCTTGCACTTACCGCCTGATGAGAACCAGTGTTTCATTGTTCTTCAGCATTGTATTGATTTCCTTCGCCAGACCACTGCCTTACTACCTACTTTCTCAACCTCCACCCTAGATTCGATCCCTCTCGTTAGACTCATTTTGTTGCTTTACGATCCTGATAGATCGAAAGAGAAAGATTCCAATCTGCCAGGATCAGCATAGGGATCGGTGGCGCCTGCAACGTCAACTCAGGAAAAGCCTTGAGAACGATCGCGAAAATTGGTGGGCGAAACTATCTAGCGAAATGGGGGTAGCTTCTGCATCAGGGAATATTCAAAGACTGTTTCACCTGGTACGCAGCACCGGAGGTCGTCACATACCGGTCATTGATAAACATGGACAGGTTTTCCACAATAGAGAACGACTTCATCGCTGGGCAGAGTATTTTAGTGAACAGTTCAATTGGCTCAGTACTGATGCGGTCATTCCAGCAATTGTGGTGTAAACTCTATGGGTGGTTACATTTGAGCTCCATCAGAGTTGGAAGTACGAATCTGTATTCCTTTATTAAAGAAAGAGAAGACAGCCGAACCTGATTGTCTTCTCTCTGTTCTTTTTACGGTATGCGGTGATTCTCGATTACCAGCTTACCTCGCATCATTTGGTCAGAGGAGCGTATCCCTTCTTCCTGGGGTGAATCGTTGATCGTCCCGATCTTCCAGAAGGGATCATGCAACGACTGCGCAAACCACCACTGGATTAGTTTAGTTCCAATAATCACGAAAGTATTGACTTCTGTTATACTTCGCCGCCTGACACCCTTAAGATAGATAAATATCCGCGAAAAGCAAGCCAGATTCCTACCAGGTCGCGGTTGCATCGACTAAATCTTCACTCTGCGTCAAGTCCTGGAACTGCGTTGCACATATCGTCTGCCAACAATCGCAGTGCTCCTAGACCTAAAACGGGCCTTCGATCCAATTGACCGTGAAGCTCTTGTGTGATCGCTGCCTCGTAAACGAATGCCACGAGAGTATGTAAACCTATTGCGGTCGCTGCACCTGCGTAAGGGTCTGCGGTGGGCTAATTAAATTGTTCGAAACCATTAGCGTTGTTCGTCCAGGGGGCCCTATTTCGCCATTCCTGTTCAATTTCGTCGTAGACGAAATACTGGAGAACGCAGTTAGTGATCTCCAAAGGGTAGGTGTTGAATGGGTAGCTGGAGATTAAGCTGTGTGATTTAGAATATGCTGACGACATCGTTTGTCTGTTCAAATGAAAGATGCGCAAAGCGCTCTTGGCAGACTAGTT